ACAGTATTTGTACCCATCATTCGGGATAGGGATTAATAAGACTGTATCAATGCATATTCCTTCAACGATTCCTCTTATCAATCAAATTGTGTGATAGCTTCCCCTGTTAATACCTGATACATTGTTGGGTGGGTACAAATATTTACAAACCATACCACCAAGGTTTTTTAATTAAATGTTCACGTTTACGTCATTGATATTGGATATTTGCATAGAAACATAAAAAGACAAATATAATTTTCAAAAAAAATAGTTACTTTGTTAATAAAATCTTGGCATTAGTAGTTTAAGTAGTGGAATATAAGCTGCTTAGAACAAGTATTAGGAAATTAAACATTATAATTCATATCACTCTCTCATATCTATTCTGTATTCCTGACATCTCTTTCAAAGAAGTGTATTCAAGTGTATTACCAAAGACTATGACTATTTAAACACAACATTAATAGTGTTATAATTTATCTCCAACCAATACTAATTAAGACTTAATAGTGCTTGAACGTGTAATAATGGGTAATAGGGTTTGTCCCCTGTTTTTTCTAAGTGAAACATTAAACAGAGCGTGTATGCTTTGTCATTGTGCATGCACAACTAGAACAAATAAAACTTAGAACAGGAAGTGGTTGTTGATTAACAACTTTAAATGTCTTCAATGGTAGAGATCTTTTGAAGTTGATAATCACTACTTTATATCAACACTGATCAAAATGAGCAAATGCTTAATAAACGGATTTGATTTGTTTTAACCAAAACATTTAAACTTCTGTGTTTTAAGTAGGGATGAGTATCGTTAAGGTTTTAACGGTACTACTACTTTTATCGATACCGCTTATCGGTCCGGTCTTTTAAAAAGGTACTCTTATCGGTTCTTTTGGAGAAAAAAATAAGCTAAACTAACTAAACAAATTGTGAACAAAACTAACATTGCTTTTTATTAAAAATTAAATACATAATATTTCACATCAAAAGAAACAACAATGTTTTAACAAATCGTATTAAATAATCTGATAACAGAACTGTAAACAGAATAGCTGAAACTTTAACAAAATAAATAACTCAGTTACCGCTAATCATTAACCCATGTTTATATAATTCAGTTAACACCCTGTGTTGCTGCTAGCATACAAAACATAGGCTACCTGACATGGAAAAGTTACTCGTGGATGGGGCTACAGAGCTTCTAGAAAGACAGTCGAAAACGGTGCATTTCTCCGTCTGAATGTGGTGAACTTTTGTTAAATGTTTTGACAAATTGCTCGTGTTACCGCCCTTACATGCTAAACTCTTATTGCGCTTTTGGCAACGAGCATTGTCAACATCGGGACGGGTAAAGTTTAACCACACCTCGGAGCGCGTTCTCTCTGCCATCTCCGCCGTGTGTGTGTGTGTGTGTGTGTGTGTGTGTGTGTGTGTGTGTTGTGTGTGTGTGTGTGTGTGTGTGTGTGTTTTGCTGCATGTAGCAACTGCGTGTGTGTAAATGGCCCCGCCCCCTCGCAAGCAGGTGGGGGTGAGAGATCTCTCGTCTGGATTGGAAAAATAGAAAAATACAAAAAAAGTCTTCTTGCATATTATAAACGGAGTTGGCAACCCTAAAACTGCAATATAATGTTTGTGTAGCAATAATACATATGACATATTTTTTACATTTTTCAAGTACCGATAAAAAGACCGATAACGTCAGAGCTTAACGGTACCACGGTCTTTAATAATTAAACCCCGGGGCCCGTTTAATACCGGAGCTCGTCACCCATCCCTAGTTTTAAGTGAACTGTGAACTTTGGAAAGATGACAGGCTTTTGACGGGGGTTACTGAAATTGTGACAGGATTGAGGCAATGAAATATTATAGTTCACAAGGATAGGGTTTCAGCCACAGTAGACGGGATTTATTTTCTTGGCACTTCTCAGGCAGTGTGCAACAGCCTCCAATCAGCAGCTATGATATGGCCTGTTGTCAAAAATGCATCAGTTGGACAGTAGCATTTGAGATAGTGGTGAACCAGGACGATAAATGCTGCTTCTCTGCCCCATCAGGGAGGAGCTGAGTGCTGGGGGAGGACTGGCCATCGACGGAGAAACGTAGGGGGGACCCAGGGTGCAGCAGACTGCAGAAAAGTCGCATGACCTTTTTTGGAACTCTGCCATCCGCCTGCCACTGAAACACAGTCTGGCTAATTAAAGTTTCAGTGGCATTGGATTTTCACTGGCACAGCACCTCGGGCAACCTTGGAGGCTCTTAAGCAGGCGATACACACAGAGGGAAGGCGGGGAGATATAAGTAGAGAGGCGAGTATTGGAAACGGTTGAACAAGAGGACAGCCACTAGAGGACAGCAAGGCAGATTCCAGCAATAACAGTCAAAGTCAGTGGCTTTCCATAACACAGGAGAAAAGCCGTATATTAGAATGCAAATCTACAGTCACAAACATGCACACTACCGGGGTGCTTTACATAAGCTTCGACAAGGTTTGCCCTTCCGAATAGTTATGCTCAAAATATTCAAGATCATATGGAATTAGAAATGAAATTGAAACTGTCCAACTAGGTACAACTGGGTGAACGGAAGAGCTAAGCGAGAGATATGCGATGTCAAAATGCTGAGTGCTTTTCCAAATCTTATCGGGCCGCCTCTCAGGCTAATGGAATTTTGATGGGTCAGTATCAAGAATAAATGCATGACTTATGACACGGGCTACCGGGAGTATTACCAAATATACCGGACAGCTTGTTCCCGTCTCCAAAGGATCATTGAATAATTGGCTGCGTTTGACCAGGACATTTCTGGAAATATGGCCAAGAAAAGGTTATGCAACCAGACAGACTCGCTCATGGCCTGCATTTCACAAATCTACTGGCCTTGTCTCCATTAATGATCTTGACCCCCTTTTCACCATTTTAAAAGTGGAAGGGCCTAATGGAGCCGAACAAAGCTGCTTGTGTGTGTGTGTGTGTGAGTGTGTGAGTGTGTGTGCGTCAGTGTATGTGTAAGAGAGACTGAGACACTTAGAGTAAGAAAGCCCCATATGACTGTGTTACAGCTTGATGAGGTCTTGGTCTGTGATTCCTGGGGGAGGTGGTTCAATCGTAGCTTTATTAGGCCTTATTGAGCTGTGTGTAGGCAGGTGTGTGTATCAAGAAGATTTGGCAGAGCTTCATGAGCACCTTTGTGATTGTCCCTAAAATACACTCTGTTGGTAGCAGTTTAATGGGGTGTGCAAGGTATTGTAGATGGCCTGTCATTTTCTCCTCATAGGTTAACGTTGTAGTTTGATCAGATTGGCATTGAAAAGCTTTAATGTGTTATTTGTGTTTACATACAAGGGCCTGTTTACAAAAACAACATAAGTAGGTTAAGTCTAAGTATGCTGCAGCTATGTCCACATTCACTTATGTCATATACACTGAACAAAAATATAAATGCAACACTTTTGTTTTTGCTCCCATTTTTCATGAGGTGAACTCAAAGATCTAAAACATTTTCTATATACACAAAATAACCATTTCTCTCAAATATTGTTCACAAATCTGAAAAAATCTGTGATAGTGAGCACTTCTCCTTTGCCGAGATAATCCATCCCACCTCACAGGTGTGGCATATCAAGATGCTGATTAGACAGCATGATTATTGCAAAGGTGTGCCTTAGGCTGGCCACAATAAAAGGCCACTCTGAAACATGCATTTTTGCTTTATTGGGGGGGGCTGGGGGGGTCCGAAAACCCTAGGGTTAAACCCTAACCCTACGCAGTGCAACACATCTCCTTCGCATAGAGTTGATCAGGTTGTTGATTGTGGCCTGTGGAATGTTGGTCCACTCCTCTTCAATGGCTGTGCGAAGTTGCTGGATATTGGCAGGAACTGGAACACGCTGTCATATACGCCGATCCAGAGCATCCCAAACATGCTCAATGGGTGACATGTTAGGGTTAGGGTTTAAACCTAGGGTTTTCGGACCCCCCCAATAAAGCAAAACTGCACGTTTCAGAGTGGCCTTTTATTGTGGCCAGCCTAAGGCACACCTGTGCAATAATCATGCTGTCTAATCAGCATCTTGATATGCCACACCTGTGAGGTGGGATGGATTATCTCGGCAAAGGAGAAGTGCTCACTATCACAGATCTTTTCAGATTTGTGAACAATATTTGAGAGAAATGGTTATTTTGTGTATATAGAAAATGTTTTAGATCTTTGAGTTCATCTCATGAAAAATGGGAGCAAAAACAAAAGTGTTGCATTTATATTTTTGTTCAGTGTATAATTTGAGTTGAACTTACACTATCACACATTTTCCAACATTTTTGTTAAGTTTCATTTGGTTGTTTGCATAGAATAATGGTATTTTAGCGGCGTCCTTTCCCATTAGGACATTTGACTTGGTTGTTGGCTTTATAGTTTGCTGCACTTGAATCAAAGCTACGCTTAAACGCTCCAAACGAAAATTGGTTTTCCATCTTGTCCAAGTACAACTACCTCCAGACAATGTATCTTGAGTCCGGTCTGGCAGCTATTAATTCAGCTAATTACTGAAATCTGATCGTGTCCGGGTAAGCTCCCCATTTGACTCATTGGGACTCTGGGACAAGCACTTAAAAGTTTCCCCTCCACGTGAAACATCTTTATCATTTTTAGCCTGAGAAATTGCCTCTATTAAATGCTCTTAAAGAGGGCAGATTAAATTAGTACCTCTATACATATAAAAAAGATTTAACTTTTGTACTTGATCATTATATGCAATATTAAGTTTCCAGCAGAGGAAAATGCCGGAACGATTCTCCATTTCATTAACATAGAATATATGTAGGGATTAATATGGAAACACAACGTTTTCACACTGATTAAATATAAATTGATGACATGTATTATAAGTAGGGAGTTGGAGTATTATAAAGAGGAATACTGTACACTTGGTGAAACACATACAGTCACGAGCAGTACATCATTCCAATTACAGTCCAATTACACCCCTCAGTGTGAATAGAACATCTGTATTTCAGTGTACTCACGGTTGGCAGAGTTTGATGAGGTCCTGGTCGGTGGTCCCAGGTGGCAGGCCTCGGATGTACAGATTGGTCTTACTCAGCTGCTCCGCCCCTCCCTGGCTGCAGCTGTTGGTGCTGGGGCTGGGAGGAGCCATCGGATGAGGGGGAGGAGCATAGGGCTGCTGAGAAAAGAGAAGCAAAGAGAGGAAAGATTTAAACTGATACAAAATTGATTTCATCTTGGGATGATAGGTTAAAGATTTAAAAACACAGAGGTAGGTTGGAAAACATATTACATAAGACACAGGAGATCAAAGTGTGATAAGGAATGGAAAATATATTTTGAAGAAACAGCAGGCACTACCAGTTCATTGTCATTGAAATTGTGACATTAAAGGGCGGCTGCGAGGCTAAGAGGAAATGATATCAGGGTCACTAAGAGGTGAACTGAGCAGCAGATAATATAAATGAGTAAAAATTCCAAGAAAAATAAACTCCTAACCTCAACCCTAACTAACACATTACGGGAAAACATTCTCATGTGAAGAAGGTCTGCACAATGACATTTGAGATGACACCCTCCGCACACTTTTACTTTCAATTATTGTCACCTTTGTACATATATTGCAATGAATTGCATCTGTAATTCATTGAGAGAGGGCAGGTATTTTTCTTGACAAAAACTGGAGTCAAGAGTGGAAACATTTCTACATTGGTTATTTTAATTAAACATTTCACCAAGGAGATTCTCTGAAATTAGGGTTCATAAGGCCTCCAGCAGCTTAGAACAGATTTAAATGATGGCAACTTCCTGCTAACTATTCATACCCTCAATACCAATTCCATTACACTGTAAAACAATTTACACCTCCAAGGGTGTGATATCTTCACGCAGTAATCCTCTCCAGCTTATTTCATAAACATCTTTATATCAACCTCTTTTTTTTCAGCATAATTTCTATCTACTGAAATCTATTCAAATTGTTCAGATGTGTGATTCCCTTTCTCTCTTTCCCCTCCTCTGCTCTCCTCATGTGCTGTTGTGCTGTTAGTGTAGATTTATGGTGTAGGTGTCAGGGCCCCCTGCTCACACTCCATTTATATCTCTATTGCGGGGACACTGCATATAGTGACAGGAAGAGAGAAGAAGGGCCCTGTGGACATGAGCGGAAAGAGAGAGAGAGGGGGGGGGAGAAAGACTAGTAGAGAAAAAGAGGCGATGCACACTGAGTGAGTGATGGAGGAAACGGTCAAATGAAAAAAAGATGGTCAGGCAGAGAGGGGGGCATGACTAAATACCACCACCAGCTCCAGTTAACCAACTTAACCCCTTATCCTCCCCAGAGAGAACCGAAAGACCCCATACCATGCCGTAGAAACACACACACACACACACACACACACACACACACACACACACACACACACACACACACACACACACACACACACCATTAAACCTCCAATCCGCCCCACACGTTAGCAGCGGCTGCTGAAGCATGGTTGATTTGATGCGCTATTTTAAGCGTGTGTGCCATGCCAGCGTGTTGCCTCCCACTCCCCAGACAAAGAGCCGGGGTCCCTGGAGCGTGAAGAGGGAGCCACGTCCATCAATGGATGGCAAATTACCACGCTGAACTAAGTGGAACTGATGGGCAGCCACTCGCTGTGCCGGACGCACACTACTGTACACACATCTGTGTTTGTGCACTCACACGCATACACGCCACGTGATGACACAGAAACACCTTTCCCACACGGAAGCCAACAACAGTCACAGCACACCATCGCCAGAGCTGTTTGAAATCCTTAAGGGCAACTTCCACTGAACTTTCAAGTAATCTGTGAAAAATCTCAAATGGAGTCCTAGACTGCAGGCCATGTCCATGTCAGGTCACAGATGGTCATTAGACAAGTCAAAATCATGAGGAAAGTCTGTGAACAATGATGAAAATGCCTTGACATTAACTATTTAGCTTTCTATTGTGATTTACTTACACATCTCAGATGATTTTTAACTCTTTCCTTTCAAATAAGACTAATCATTTAATGTTGTGTGGCTATATAAGGCCTGCTATTTACCAGCGTCGCTCCTGTATCAGGAAATATCACAAAGAATACTTTACCGGGTGTCCGGATGTCCGTCTGTCTGTGTTTTTTTTCACAGCAATTGCTTGGCAAGCCGTGTAAGATGCAGTCGAGAAACTTTACAGATGTGCGTGTGAGTGTGACACAAATAAAGTTCAAAGAACTCAAATTTCGACAAAGTATGCACACACAATGCCTGGTTCAGATCTGGCCAGAATGTGTTGCCTCTCTTTATGCACGGTTTACTGTTCGCTCTCCACTTTTGATTTTTAATTAACATACATTTTTCATCAATCGCCTTCTCAAGTTACTTCATTACAACAAGAGAAAACTTCAAACCTGAACATTTGACTTAAATCTGACTCAAGTGTGGGTTCCAGTCTTTAACTTAATCGCCAAACACAGACACACACACTCCTTATGCAGATTGTGCCTCCCACTGCTTAACACACTGCTCACACTTGGTTCACAGACTGAAATGAAAACGCAGCACTAGTCTCCAGTCACTCACGTTTCCATGCAGTGGCAATAGAACAGAAGAATCTTAATCTCTTGAGTGCTCAATGGGAGTTATTTTCTCCCACTCAAAGTCATAGGAATGTGCACAGCTGCAGTTCAAAACTTGTCTTTGAGGCTTTCAACTCAGGTCCCCCTTCCCTTGTTGTTGTATTTTCCCCTTGTACACTGTATAGCTGACATTACAAACAGTACTTAACATACCATGCGACACAAATTCGTACATATTCACAAGCACAAGAACGAGACGCTACACAAAGTTGCTGTCAGCGCTGAAGGTTAATTGAAAACCCCTCTCTTTTTCGTTGGCTTTCTTTCTTTGTTTTAGCTCTTCAGTAATACAAACAGCCCTCCTCCTCTTTCTTCTCCTCCCTGAGCTCCAGGCTTGGCTAGCATCCTGGGCTTTGGAATTCATGTGTCCCGCCCTATCGATTTGCTTTCATTTTTTAAGGTCAGAAGCTGAAATCTTACACAATGAGGCATGGAGGGTCAAAACCAGCCCATTACTTACAGTGTTGGGCGGGAAGACGTGAGAGTGAGGTTATCCAAGGGGAAAAGAAAAGACCGGAAGAGACCCCCGGGACAGAGAATGGAATGGGTGCCGAAGATCAACTGGGAAAGGCGACTGTTCGGTGGATAGTGGGATGGGCTGAGTGGGATAGGGTAAGGGTTGTGTGTGGACTCACGGATTTATCTTTGATTTTTTGTTTATGTCGTAATATTGGAAACATTTATAAAGACTTCTAATGTTGCAGACTCAAGGGATGCAAAAGCTGGATAGGCAAAATACATAACTGCCAAAAGAGCCGGCTTTTAAAATGCTTCTGTGAGTCTACATGTGTAATGTATGTATATACATGCGTCGGGGGCAGGTTGTGAACTTGTACAAGCGTGGGGGTGAAATGAGAATGCACACATCGGCTGTTGCTTCAACCCACAAGCACAAACACGCATTCCCAGCAAAACTGTTTCCGTCATTTTTTTTGTTTAAAATCGAATTCTCTCCTGGCTTCCTCCGGTCGCCCCACTTGAGGTTAATAACCAAGCTTGTTTCGCGTTCCGGATGCTTCCGTGACTGCTGTTTACCCTCTGCCTGTCAGACTGTAAAAATCCAGCTTCTCAAATATATAATAAATACAGGCCTTGTGTGTCAGAATGAAGAGGATTGAATACAGCACTTGACAAAAGGTATTTCAGCCAGAGAGGGGAGGGATTGGATGATTGGGGGAATGGCAGGGAGAGACAAAGGGAAAAAGAGCAGGAGTTAAAGAGAGGAATAGAAGAGAGTCATGGAGAATAGCTGGTTATGACACTTCAAAAACCTCCAGGTGGTAAATGAGAAAAACCTCCATTCTCCCTCCTCCCTACCCAGCTGTGACATGCCGCTACAGAGGCTTACTGGGGATTTCAATTTGCCGCACTGTATTTTAGATGGGCAGAATGGTTTACACAGGCCCAATTTACCAAGCCACCAGTGCGGGGGGGGAGGGGGGGGGGAGTTACACAGCTTCCGTGACATGCCAGCAAATGTTTATGAGTGAATTAAGTGCGGATGATAAATCTTACGTGCGTTGCTTAGGCTGAGGACACACAGCGCTCTACTGTATATTCACACACATTCTTTATACAGATCAGTGCTGGCTCTCACTGTCACTGAGATGAATATGTAAGCCTGAACCTACGGTGTTTAATGTTTCTTTCACGTCCAGGTACTTTAAATACAGTATCTTTACTATATAAAGTCTTTATGCATCGAAGCGATTAACGTGTGTTATTTTTAACCATATTTATACTATATATGATCACTCTTTATATTGTGTCTAAAGACCTTCAATAGTGGTTAATGTCAGAGTTTATAGATTGTTATCTCCAATGTCTACTGTATATTTTCTACTTGATTGTAATGCTGTTTTAATTCTATTTTGAGATGTTTAATTTCTAGTATTGTTTATTTCTACTCTTTCATTTCTACTTATGTGCAATGCCTGGGTTTGTATTTGGGATGAATAAAGTACCTTTTATCTTATGTAATTTATCTCAAATATCAACATTTTCAGCAGCCCATTTGATTTGGATTATACAATGGGTTTGGTAGGGATTGATTTACCTTTAAATAATAAATATACCAGGAAGCGATAACATTTCATCTTTTTGATTAAAGGGAAAGTAAAGGACAGGAAAATTAAAGCAGAAAATGTAAAATTGAAAAAATTAAATTTGATTAAGTGCTTATGATATGGAATGTCTTTATCGTAAGCACTTTGGTTTACCCTTCTTTACAAAGTTGCCTATATCTTTAGATAAGGTCGCTCCCAACGGTTTTAAACATACGATGAGAGTAGACAATGTTTGCCAAACAGAGAGGAGGACTAATTGGAATGAAGGCAGGGCTGTGGCTCTCCTGGCTTCTCTCTGCCTGCCTGCACTCTGCAGGGCAGGGCTGCGACGGGAGGAGAGGCGGCTGTGCACCACCGTGGTAATTGGCCATGATTTATAGGAGGCCATAGCAGCCAGCGAGAGCTAGCTCAACACTGGCAGGAGGCCAGACAAGGCCACGCTGTCAATATCAGTAAGCCGA